TGGCTTTCTGAAATGTGCATGCTGCAAAGCAAAGGAAGAGCATTAGGGCCTGCAGGGCCTTCTCCATTTTAAGACACTGGTGCTGAGGTCCAGGAGAGAGTAAAGACCAAATCATAGCCTGGCTCCGAAAGATCTCCTGGCCCAGATACGGCTGGTGGGGGCACAAGACACGGGGCATCCAACCCACCCCCCTCCAAGACAGCGGGGCCCTCCCACCAAGGGGATTTCACAACCCTGAAATATGGAATGGCCAGGCTCAAAGGGCGTCTGGAAGCAGCTGCAACAATTTGGATAACCCCTGCAGATAACCCAGGCAATGTGCAGAAGGGCAGAATCTATAAGGAAACTGAAGGAAAAAACAAACAAACAAAAAAAAACCAACAACAACAACAAACCAGCATTGCATTGCCTTAAGGATGAGAAGTTAAGGAAAGGTAGTGGCAGCAACTTTTTAATGTTTAAGAGAAAGGAACCAAGCACTTGGCATCTGTCAGGATGCCTGAAGTTCTACTGCTGGTCCATATGTACAGAGCTTTTTGTAACAATCTATGTTCTCCTCGATAGAGCAGCAAACTTCCCAATCCACTGCTCCTAGTAACAATTTAAAACTCTCTCCACTGTGCTTGAACATAATATTTGCAACATGGCCTAAGTTTTTGTTTTAAAATAACAGTCATTCAACAAGAGTAAAAAGTCCTTATTATTTTTTTATTTTTACTCTTCGAGCAAAGCTGGCCCTTCCCAGGCACTTGCCCCCACCAAATCCTTCCCCACTAGGGTTAGCTGTGTTATAGTTCTGAGATTATAACCCTCAAAAAAAAAAAAAAAAGAAAAAATTCTGCACATTAAAAAATGCATTAAAAAAAAAGGAAAAAAGAAATCAAACTTACTTTGCTCGGGGTTGATGTACTAATCCTGGGATCTCTTTGTTAGACTTAAGTCTTACATTTGAACTGGCACTTTTTTCCTGGAACATAAAAACCCCACAACACCATTAGCACCATTAGCATTGATGGTTCAGCTCCTCTCAGGCATGTCCGCCTGTTCGCCACGAGACACCCGCCATGAGACACCCGCCAGGAGACACTCGCCATGAGACACCTGCCATGAGACACCCGCCAGGAGACACTCGCCATGAGATATCCGCTATGAAACACCCGCCAGGAGACCCCCGCCATCAGCTCCGGGAGATGGACGTCATATGGGAGCCACCACCCAAACCCATCGGTGGAGCCTCCTTGGCCGCACCAGCACGGCGCCCTTTCCAATGGCACCCGTCTCCCATAGAGAAACCGGTGCCTGGCTGGAAACCCCCGGGGCGAGGAGCAAGGCTCCCCTCCCAAGCCTCAGCAAGCCCCTCTCTGCATGTTACATTAATGCAGGTACCGCTGCAGAGGCGGCCATCAGCTCAAACCTTGCTCTGAAGAAGCAGCTCCTGCTGAGGGACAGCTAGGAGGCCACAGGAAAAAACACTTTTTTTTTTGCAATGTCTCCTTCCAGCAGTTCCATAAAGACGCTTGGAAGATCAGTGGGATGGGAAGTTCCCATCCTTGCTCCGGAGGGCCGGAATGAATTTCCTGACAGCTTCGCACGGTGGCCCCACACAGTCCTCTGGTCGCCTATTACGCCCAGTAACAGAGACACATCCAGCACCATCTGCTTGGGGATAGACACCAATATGCAAGGTCGGTTTGCTTTTAATCCCGCTCTGCTTGAAAGGCAGGCGAGTAAGTTACACCACTCACTGGGGATTTAACAACAAGCCCCTCGGGAGGCTGTAACTGGATATCTACAATGGCTCGAGCAGGGGACAGCAGACGCTTTAGTCCCTCTCATTTTGCAATTAGTCACCATCCAGGTGAAGCTGTCAGTAAATCAAGGCGATGCTGCTGGATAGATTTGTTAATTCTTGCTAATTCCCACCCCAAAAGGTCGTGCCACCCCAGGCGGCAGCGCAGGAGCAGATGGCAGCGGCTCTGCTGCCAGATGCTGCGGTTCCGCACGAGCCACCGCTGCCCTCCACGCATCCCCCTGCACCGCCCCTCACTGGGCCACCCAAACCCCATTTTAAGTATTTTCATCTTTTAAGAACTGCTGGTAACAGTACAGATGATTGTTGATTTTTTGAGAGAGATGCTTGCAAACAGTGAGACTATGCATTATTATTAGTAGTATTACTTAATTTGGAAAAAAAATGCTGTAAGTATCCAACTTGTGACTCCACCCTGGAGCCCCCAACGTCTGGAGGTGACATGGTCTCTCAAACCAAATGTTTCTCTTTTTAAGTTGCCTTTGTCTTGCTATGGAGTCATTCGTAAAATATACCCAAGCTCACAGAAACATTTCAGGTCTCACCAGGTCATGACCACCTTTTACTTTTCCCAGAACTACTTAACTCATGGTTAAGAGAGTTTTGGGAAGAGCTGGCTCCCGAGCTGGGCCAAGCACCGTGAGGAGCACGTCCGACGGCCCGCGGACGCATCACTCACTGCTCACATGCCACGTGGGACCAAGGCCTAGGTGCCAATGGTGGGTGAGGAGACGCCTGACAAAGACGCTCTCATCATGGACATGGAAAGGGCCATTATTAAAAGCCATGAGGGATACAAATACCCATGGCCACTTTCTATTGCTAGTCCCACAACGAGCCACACTGGACTCGTGGGCAGCCACCCAACAGCAACTCATGTGTCCCACCTTCCTCAACATCCTAAGCCAAGGGTGAAACACCCCCCAAAACACAAATCTTTTTTATCGAGAAAATGAAAGGGAAGCAAGTGCTAGCAGACAGGGCTGTTGCTGCCGCGCTCACGGATCACGCACTGCTGCTGGCTGATTTGCACTCAGCTCGAGGGCAGGTTTCGTAATAAATCGTGGTGTTGAATGCTTCATTTTAGGGAACACTCTTCCCATCTCAGGCCAAGTTTTCCTTAACGGGGAAAAATGGATCTGCCCCCAAAGTCTTACCCTATGAGGTACGTCCCAGTGCCTTAAAGAAGAGCCTTAATAAATAGCACAGCTGACCAACATCAGTGCGTAGGGCTGTGGGCTTCATGCCCATGTAAGAGGCTGTGGGCGGCTGTGGCGCCCGAGGCCTTCAGGGCAAACCCTGGCCGCTGAGGCACGCGGTGAGGCGCGCACAGGCGCGCAGCCGTGCGCTCCCCTTGGGAAAACGCTGCTGCTCCGGCCACCATCACACCGTGCGTCTGCACGGCCGCGGGAAGCACAACCTCCCTTTCCAAGGGGATCCTGTGCTTTCACCAACATAATACCCTTCCTTCAAATTGCTCTTAAAGGGTAGGCCTCATCCTGGAAAAAGGCAGGTTTCCATCCCTCAGCCTGCCCAGGTACTATGGGAGGCCTCCCTGCTGCAAAATGAACACGAGTGACCGGGAGACACCTCACCCAAAGGCAGCTCCCTGCTCCAGCCGTGCAGCCCCCGTCAGCAACATGGACATGCCAGAAGCAGAAACACAAGGACTAAAGGGATGCTGCAAAAGAGGACTGACTTGGCCAGGCCACCTGGAGCACCAGTAAAACCCAGCGTTGTCACCGTCTGTCCCTGACAGACTTGTCATTCTGGAGGTGTTTCCAGGGGCCAGCAGCTCAGGAAGCTTCCCACAGCAGTGAAGCGAGGCGCTAACATGCAGGTGCATGAGTGCATGCTTGGCTGAAAGCAGGGAGAACCCGGATGGCAACAAAGGTGTCATCCTTTTCAAATGCTTTCAAGCAGTGTGATTGTGAGACCCTCATCACAGTGTCCTCACTATGCTTACAGGATATCAACAAACATGAAAAACCCAGAAATTTGAATTTGATAAAATACTCTTCACTCGGCCGAGCTACTGGCATGCAAGCTCTGATAGGGAACATCACGAAAGAGCAGGAACAGCTGCGGAAATGGAAAAAGAGGAGCCAGTCTGGAAGCTGCTTTGGTTTGGCTTGGTTTATACTGCTTTAAACATCTGGGTTTTCTGGCTCCTTGGGCTCTTGAAAGAGCAGCCAGGATGAGAAAATGAACATTGTGACCAAGATAAAGCTAAAAACTGGTATCCGCAGGATTGGACACAGTACATGAAATTTCACTCCCATGCAAGGCAAGGGAGATGTCTAAAGGTGAAGTTGGATCCCTTTAGGGCATGGAGCATTACGGCTTAAATTAAAAAATATCCAGCAATGCTCAGAAGAAAATGCTGTGAGAAGCACGAACTACTCTCTAACTCTGGGTTATATAATACATCTTTAATGGCTTTTGTGCATCAGAGTGGTTGGAAGTTTTATCTAGTGAATGGAAAAATGTAGACAAAATGTTTGCCCATCCAAATGATGGAGAAAAATTAAAAACCTTCATTATGGAAAACTTACAAGATTAGTGTGACCCTCAAGGAAACTTCTAAGGTTAGGCTTGGCCCTGGTTTAGGTTGCAGTTAGCAAGGAAAAGCACAAGGCTTGTTCTTCTGCAGGTATCTCCGTCACCCGGATCCTACAATCCCCTCGGGTAACAAGACCTGGCTCAGAATTAACTTCCTGCTTATTTAGCCTGCCTCGGTAATACATCTCACTCAACAAGCTTTTACAGAAATATATTTACAATAAATGACAAATTACTCAATGCCCTCCAATTTTTCATGCATGTCTCCTGAAGGCAGCTCTCCTCTAAGAGTGATAGTGTGGAACGAGCTTGCAAGAGGTCTGTGAAACATTTATATCCAGGCATAAGTGGCGTAGATGCTCTTAAAAGTAACTTGGTGCATTATGCAGCCCATCGGGGCATGTAGCCATTAGTTTTTGCTTAAAAAAAAAAAAAAAAAAAAAGTTTTGCAAAGCAGTGTTGCATTACATGTAAGTTGGTCTCATTGGGACGATGGTGACCACCAAGTAGCCGATGCGAGGAGGTGTTAAGAACACCCCGCAGCTCCCTCCTCCTGCCAGACAACGGCGTGTCGACGGTGCCTCGTCCCCTCGGGGGTGCAGCTGGGCTCATAATCGCAAGGGGGGAGGTTGGAGCCCCCGAGGTTTAATGTACACCTCTTACTACCGCCACGTAGCTCCATAATGTGCATCATGATCCTTTCAAAGATGAGGGAAATCGAAGTGTCCTACTAACCCAACCTCACTGAGGACTTTGCAGCATCGGGATACACGCAAGATGTTCCGCCACTTGCTCCAAACCTGAGATTTATGCAGGACAGTGGCATTTCTCATCAGTGCAGGAGATGCTGCCCGCCCGGGGCTCGCGCTGCACGCGCCGCTGCCCAGCCGCGTTTTCCACTCGCCGAGCTCCGCAGCTGGCGCGGGGAAGAGCAAACACATCCATGCACGTCCCGAACAGCAACAAACCTGCAGCAAGCTCACATTCTCCCAGCACTGCCCATGGGTAAGATTTTAAAATATCCTGTAGACGGCCATTATATAAACATCATCCTGGAAACATATTTTCAGTGCCTGCATTTTGCTTTTGTTGTCATTAATTCTCCAGTTTGCACAAAGCATAAGATTTAAGATCCAAGAGACGGAAATTGTAGTTCTTGGTACGTGGCAAATTTCACTGACTGTTGCTAAAACGTTGCTCTTAAAGGTCATAACAGTTTGATTATTATTAAGGATGACATATGTACTATGACACATGAAAAATATTATGGCTGCAGGAGGTATCTTAACTGATTCATGTATTCTTAAGAATCTTTTTTATTCTTTTGTTTAGATGTTGTCTTTGAATATATAGCAGCAAGCTTGGAAAAAAATCCTTACTTCACGAAAAATGCAGTAGCCTGATTATTTATGAAGGGCCCAGTCCATCCATAAGCATGGATTTTTGTCTAGACGATCGAAACAAATTCATTTGTCATTAATGCTGAGAATAGATAGGATATATACCATAATGAAAGGCAATCGCAAGGGCTTTTAAGACTTCAAGCCATGTAAAAATCCAACCTCCATTCCTCATGTGTTTATCTCCCATAGGTT